TTTCATCATACCTCATGCTTCCTTTAGTGTTTTCAAAGCGGAACACTCCCTTTCCGAACTACGGTATCACACGCATTCTTAAATTTCAGACGCAGCCAATTCAGTGTAGTGCTTCTGGGGATTTAGGGCAGAAGGTGACACGTGTTCCGCGTATCGAATGAGTCACAGGCCCGTCCACTGCCGTGTTTACGTCTGCGCGGCAGCCTGGGAGCGCGACACTTGACAGCAGCGTTTCGCGAGAGAAACGCACGCAGCGCCATCTGCGCAAGACACACGTGCGGATGTATACCGTACGGGCGTCACTGGCGGCACACATTGTACGGTGTTTATCGAGTGTGCCCTGTGTCGTAGCGCACTTCAGAGTGACCTTCAGGCCGGACGGCGGCGTGCGTGCCATAAACAACTGTGCCACGCTGGCAATGTCCGTAGCGGATACCATGCCATGTCTGCGATTAAAATTGTTCCACTGCGCATTCTTCAAGGAAGATACTGTTCATGTCTGCCACAGGATGCGTTCTTATTTTGCAGTTGCAAACCAACAGGTGCCCTCAGTGCGAGACTAAAGACATACAAGCAGCATGAGAACAGGCGTTGCTTAGGCCACATATCAAGGATGCAGCCCTACAGCCGACGACTTTTCCGTCTCAAACGAGCCAACAACCCACTCCAAAGCTAGTTTGCCACCTTGGCCGACTTGGTTGCTCCCCATGCCCAAAATATGCTCTGCATCTAGCTGAGTTGACCAGAGGCGATTTGGCCGTGGGTGCTCGGTGACAAGCAGACCGAAGCGACCTGCACGCGTCAGACAGACCCCACAGCCAATGCCACCAGGCCTCTAGGGGGAAATGGGAGCTCAGACTGGCGCGTGTGTGTAAACAGACTGAGCCATATGCGGATATGACAGATTCCATCCCCGAGACTACGGCCGCCGTGGAATCAAGGACAGATTACAACCTCTACAGATCTTACACAAGCACACGGCGTATGGGAAATCCATTCAGCGGGGCATCCGTGTTTGGTCAAGACAATGCGTCAGTTAACAGGAGACAAGCCATTAGACATTAGATGATGACGCATGACGGAAGGCAAGACCGTTGTTGTGAAGTTAAGTGGCAGCTGCCGGGAAAGATGACGATGACAAGGCCGAAGCCAGCAGTTGAGTGCCGCATGAAGTCAAAACCAGAATCATGATCTAAAAAATTTCCGACGGCGCAGCCGAAGCCGAAGCCGGCTACTACAACTAAAAAAGACAACACAAAGCGGAAGTCGAAAACGCGACCAACCATTAAAATAGTATGGCGCCAAAACCGAAACAAGCCGTGGAAGGTAGCTCCACGCCAAAGCCAAACCCAGAGCCACTGGAGGACAACTGCGGCTTCACGAAGCCGAGGCCAAAGCCGGTCCCCATGCCTGATCCGCGAAACATGTCACTTAATAATCGCATCGCGCATCGCCTTGGTTTTTGTAGGTCCGTTATGACTGAACGCCACACAATCTATCGATAAGCGCGCAATGGTCGACTCGGTGCGGGCGGGACTGGTTACGGGTAAGACCAGCGCTTGACCCAACTTCCCTGACGCTCATTCGGTTACGGTACCGGCCTACCAGCGCACCCACGGCGGAACGAAGGTTTGAGTCGCTACACGCGCTCGCTATTTTGACCCTGACCGCGATGACCTGACGCCTGTGGCAGCGTCCAGTCAGGGTCAGATGCGCGGAGAGGATCGGGCGGACAATGCCGGGCATCGCGGCACGAAGATTTGTCACAAAACTCCGCTTTGAAATTTCACGGTCGGGAAGTGGGGTCAGGGCCCGCACTAAA